TGCTATGGATGTCCTCAAGAAAACAGTGAAAGTTACAGCAGCTCAGAAAAAACGTTTTCAAAGACTCAGAAGAACCCGCTATCGAAGAGGAAGATTTTCATGTTTTTGATGGTTGAAACCTCGCTCAGAGTTTTTGCATGGACATATTTGTCTAGAAATGAAGAGTACTTCATGTATTGCAGAGTAGTAGTCGTATAAAAGGAAGCTACAAAGACAGAACACCAATCCATGAACGACTTAGGTAACATTTGAGTTGGATTTTTTCCTCTTTCTTACAGCTATATTTGCTCTCTGACCTACCCTGTCTTTGCGATGTTATCGTCACGGCTTTTTAAGCAGCTTAGCAGTAACCTCAAATTCTTTCCTGAATTTTAAAAAATTTTACCCTAATGTTTCCAAAAAGCGCTGATAACAGTTATGTAGAGTAAACCTTTGGCTACATCGCACCTATTTTAGATTGAATGGATCACGTTTACCAAGTCCGTTATGAGATGACTTTGCCAAAAATCGCGACCTCCGAAGAAATAATTTTTGAAGCTTCAAAAAGCAAATCAGGAGAATCTAAAAACGGTGCTTGGTATTCTGAAATTGCTCTATTTGATCCATGCTTAACGCTTTTTGAAACTTTGGAATGAAATTTTTAAAAATTAGCCCAACTTTGAGCAGATAAATTTGACGGGCGGAGAATTTTGGCAATTATCAAAGAAAGCACACTTGCGGGTCGGTAATGCATCCATAAAAAAGAGAAAGAAAAACTGCGTCGAAGCATGGTGAAACTCATTCACTTTGTGCGTGGTTTCATAGTGGTTTGAAAAAAGGACAAAACTTTCGGGACAACCTAATATTTGCTTGGCCATGTTAATATATCACATAGACATTTTATTTTTCGAATAATACACTATCGAATAATATTCAAAAATTGAAAATTTTGAATTTTCGACTGTCGAATAATATTCGAAAATCGAAAATTTTGAATTTTTGAATATCGAGTATCATTCGACTTTCGAATATTATTCGGAAAATTAAATGCCTATGTGATATGTTAACAGGCCAAGCAAATAGTTTACAAGTATTGTGGTTCTTTGTAGTCCCTTTTATACGACTAGTACTCTGCAATACATGAAGTACTTCACTACTGGGCGCTACGATATGCGTTGCCTGCTAGAAAGTGAATAGAAAGACTAGAAAGTGGGAGAAGGGGTTGAAAATATCACCGTGGCGTCCATGGCTAACGAAAAACTGATAGCGGTTACATACTGCGACGCGGAAGACGGCGCCGCGCTACGACTACTGTACAGACTACCGTGCCAGGACCCAAACATATACACTCCCCCTGAGAGTTGTAGCTTGATATTCTTTCATGGAGTTCGATCATTCGATGGTCGCCAAATATTCGAACACTCTCTCACACTTTTGGAATTGACATGTCTAGTGGTCCCAAGTTACTAATCATGCTCTTTGAGATTTCAATATATTAGCAGTTCAGCTGTAAGAGAAGGCTGGCAATTCATTTGCTATACTAAGAGGAAAAGAATGAAGAAGTTGACGTAGGTGCACGAAACAAAAGAAAACACAAAAACAATAACATAGAAACTACATTAACTATCTTTCGTTATAAGCGGCTTCAACAGTCTATAGCACCGTCCTGTCACATCAGCCACAACCTTGAGCAGAACAACTGACTGCTGCACGACGAAGGTGCAGAAGCAGTATTAGTTGAGCAAACGCGAATGCTGGGCGCGCCTATCTTTATCGCTGTAAATCCTGCGCCTCATGCGCTCTGCGGCTAACAGGACCGCGTTCGTTCTCAAAGGTACTGCGCTTTTTTCAGCAAGTTATACCACTTAGTACGGCCTATGATGACTACCATGCCATTTAAATCATTACACTGTCATTTTAACCATTTTATCATTTTAACCTGCAAAGTTAGTAATGACGCCTCCACAAAATATGCACAAGCAATAACGAAGACGAAGGCACGATTTCTGTCCAGGGAATCACTGGCACTTGCAAGAACTAAACAAATTTCAAGCTGATGTCAAATCCGCCACCTATCTGCCAGTCCCATTAGGTGGTAACCTTTGACTGGATTGGTGGCTGGAAGGGGGAGGGGGGTGTGACTTGAGATCACTCGCGCCCGCCCCCTATGATGAAAATCACAGTGCCCTATTTCTGTACAACATTCCCCTGCCTTGTACATTGCAAGCTGTGTAAAGTTCTCCGAAGTTGCCATCGTTTTCATGCGATGGAGAATGCTATTGTCTTTATTCTTGGGATTAGTCGCATGAGAATGTGGCACCTTCGATTTCATACAGAAACAATAAATATTTGCCCCATTCATACATATATTTGCATGAATACTACTGAATACATGAATACTTTGTTTTCTACTACAATAATAGTGGTGTATTTCTAATGACAAAAGATGGAAACGCTGAATTACAGTTGTTTGGTGTTAAAGGGCGATCGTTCCGGGAGCCTACCGTACCCTTGAGTGGAGCGCCAGATTCGATTTTTGGGATTTTGGGATTTTTGGGATTTTTGGATATACAAAAGATGGAAACGCTGAATTACAGTAGTTTGGTGTTGAATGTGTTGAATTATGACTCATTTCGAACCGCTATGCATACGAAGAGGAAATACAAATTCCCCTTCTATGTATGGATAACCAGAAATTCGATATGCGTCGTCCGTATCTAGCAAGTGCGGAACAAGTGCAGAGAACTTACTGCCAACCACAACAACGTTGAGAAAAGCATAAACCATTCGCTCATCGAGATTCGCATGTGACGACAACATTTCATCCTCGCCTTGTCGTCCCTCAACACCGCAGACATTTGCATTCACGTCCACCCCACCGCCTGTGCAGTAGCCCATTAATCGATTCCTTATGTATTCACAGTATTCTTGTAAGAAGGAGTACGTCGCATCTTCTTTGACAGTAGCCTCTCCCCTACAAAAACGTTCTGCATATAAACACACATAAACTCCACAATTGAAGCTATCAGCCTGCACATGAACGGAACCTTTGGAAGCGACTACTATAGCATCCAAATGCCGATTCGTTACTTTACGCCAAATTCTCTCCAATGAACTCTTATCTGCTAAAGGAAGGCGCACAGGAGAGTAAGGATATAAAAAACCCATCGAATCGTATAAAGCGATACTTTGCTGCGCGATACGCAACCAAGCAAGGGACCAATGAGCGCCATTACGCATATGCAGCGGAAAAAGCAGCTCTCCTTCACCGAGCGGATAGACGGAATAGTATAAGACTGCCCGGTCTGTATGAAGCACGGATCAAGAGGCGTGAAACCCGTCCCACTGGCAACAACTTTTATGAAGGCGTAGATGACCTCATCATTGAGCCAACCGTTCCCATCCAAACACGACAAGAAAGCTCTATTCCTATTCCCACCAAGCGACATCCTGGCCGAGCATAAAACCAGTAACTTCTGTAAAAATAATACAGATGCTTTCCAAACTACTATTGCCCACATACGGAAAAATTAGGTACAGGTAAAAATGGTACGCTTCTAGCCCGCCGAAACCAGAACCAGTGCAGGCAGTTCGTATTATCATCTCCAGAAAACATACTCATACCTATACATCAAATCCCCATGCGTTTATAATCAGGCATGTTCTTTTCCTGTTAGGCATTTCTATTATGTTGCTATTGGTTATTGTTAAATACGTGGTTTTCGTGTGCATTTGTATTTGTTGAGCTAAATTACGTGCTGAGATCATATAAAACAAAAACAACTTGGTGTAAGACAACATACTATATTGCACATAATATAATCACAATGAATAAGTTACCCCATGAGGAGCTTTACTTCTAAAAAAGATCCTAGAACTCAACAAGTTTCACACCCAAACAAAATATTAGGTCGATTCATGATCAGTGCACGTTTTTCATACCCCCCCCCTTTTTCGAGCGCTCATTCTCAAAATGAATCAATTTGCTCGAAAACTTTTTACGGTATTTAGAAAGGAGATTTCTTTGTGAAAACAAAGGTGAATATTACTGTGAATTTGCGCTGAATCAATGAAGAATAGCCGGATCAGTACCCAAAAATATGCATAACAGTCAAGAGGCTGCGCTAACTAACACGAACTACATAATATAATAGAAATAGGCAATAAACTTGAAAAATACAGAAAGATTGCAGTGTACCTGCAGAATACTTTCAGCTATCGTAGAACCAGGTAAACGAATTCGCAAGATTCTCGTCAAGATCAATAAAGTCTGGAAAAATTCAGACCATATACAAGTCAACGTGATTTCCGCTGTCTGCAAATAAAAAGAAAAAGCAGCAAAAAGACTACGATCTGAAATGTGCAGATGCGCGTGGTAGCGTCTGATGGTATGATAGGTGCCAGAGTAACCGAATATTTTATTAAGCTGCAAAAGGCGCCGGAATTAATGTCTTCCGCATTATGTCTGCTGCTGCTTATAGGGCCCCATTTATTTCTACTCAATCGGCTGCGCGGGCGGCCGCGGCGCGTGTCAGTACTGCGCGCTTAGGTCGCCCTTGCAGCCACCAGCCATCCAGCCGTTTTAGTCTCAAAACATGTCTTTGAGCGAACGCCACATCATCCTTCCGAGAATATCAAGAACTTTGGCCTTACTTTTCGCTTTGAACTTAACTTCTGAATAAGATAAGTTATTAACTCAAGTAGATAGTACCACTGAGCTATTCGCTGAAAGTTGTTTTGTCTCATACTTCACAATCTATTGTTTCTTTTTTATATCTCTTTCATAGTTCTTTTCAAGCATTTTTGCAACCCTCTCATGTTTTGCTAGCTGTCATTTTAACTAAATTTCTTTCACGCTCAGTGATCATGGAGAATTTTCTGATGTTATCGACCTTTGCTGCAAACGTGCTATGGTGTTCTGACTAGTTGCCTTATCAGTCATTTCTACCTAAATTTTTCGAAGGATTGCTTTTTTCTTTTGATTGTCAAGTTTAACGTCAATCTCACGATTTCAGAATGCAATGGTAACGGGACTGTTTGGTGCGATGATATACGGAGAGGTATATGCTTGCTTGGCAAAAGGAGGGATCGAAACAACGGTAAGTTCATGGTTTATGTTGAAATCATGTCCATGTAATCAATGAAGTTTGTTTCCGGACTGAAAAGTGCACTATGGAATCACAAGGAGACATGAGAACATTGCTCGTTGCTCATGATTAGCTCGGCTCTTCAGTTGATGTCGTACGATTTGGCGTCTGGTAATTTGATATTCAAGGGTTATTTTGTCTTTCAGCATGCGTCTTACTCTAACTTTCACTCTTTTTGGAAAATCAGTACCGCTAATTCAGTTATGAGAAGGGCAGAAAGTCTACTATAGTGTCTATTGCTAGCCGCTTTGTTCAGCATCGAGCTGTTGTATTTGTATTGTAGTATTTGTTGTATTTGCTTGTTAACATGAATGGCACCAAAATCGGATCGGCGTTCCGTTACCCAGTGGAAGTCGTTGATTTGACTAACGACGGGTTTGTAGTACGATTATGGTGCGATTACTGTGAGTCTCTAACGCTTACTGATCATCATGCGGACTATTTCAGCGTTCCCAGTATCGCAGCAGAAAAAAGCAAATTGGAGAAAAGTAATGTCGAACGCTGTAAGTTGTGATCGTAGCTTGTCGGAAGCATTCCAATTTTCAGTGCAATTTGCGACTTCAGACACATCGCTAGAGACACCGGCATTTCCGAGCCAAGAGTTTCAGTGGCGGAGGCAAGATTTTTACCTTGCATTCTCTAACTTCCTACTTCTTCGTGGTTTTTGAAGTGAAGAAATGAAGGGGAAACCAGAATTAATCGCGATTAGTACCATCATTAGAGCGTTCTAGTTATTATATTTGCTTTGGGCAGATTTACTTTTCTAGACAGTGAAAAAGCGATTTGTAGTTTGAAAAGAAGTGAAGTATAGAATGATATCACCTGTAGTTTGAATCAGTTATTCCAAAAAGGAAGCTTTGTTAGGTTCTCAAACATGACATGCCTATTCTTCAAATGTTTAACCTCAAAATTACGTTGAGCACAAATTTGCTGACATACAAAGTGTATTATGCACTTCAGATTCGACATAATCTTTGTTCGCAAAATCCCGCTCCTTTCCTTTTTGAGCCCATGTGAGTCCTCTCATCAGTGAAGGCCTTAAAACATTTGTGGGGGAAGACAAAGTTTTGAAAGGAGAGACAAGTAGCAGCTCAAGAGAATTTCAAGGTTACGCAAGTTTACAGGTAAGCCCCGTTTCAAAATTTTTTTTGAGAATTTGATTAAATTCTTTACAGAGATTATGGAGCAAAACATTGAACACATATAGATGGAGGAAGCAGAAATATGAAGTTCAAGAAACTGAAACTTGTAGGCAGATGATTTGGTTAAGGGCGACCTGACTGGCTGATTTTTCTCCGCACTACAAAGATTTATATTTTATCCAAAAGTCTGACCAGCACTCGGCAGGAGCTGACACCAGTGAAATTTTAAAATGAAGTCCTCTTAACTTTTGCAAAATTTTATGAAGTCCTCTTTGTTCCTAAAAACCCCTTGAAAACGAAACGTCAAAAAATTTTGTGTCTTTTCGGCCACAAAAACGATATCCCCTTTACTTTCTGTCCCAAAAGCGATATCCAGCTTGACCCGCCAGCTAGACCGAGCCCTGAGTTTGACAGCATTCATAACATAGACTAAACTCAATTAGGCTAGCCATACAGAAAATATAAATACAAGAGTCAACTGACACTTCAAATACTTTTTCTTTTTAGGAGAAGAGAGAGACATCTACATTTTTGACCACCATACTTGAATCAAAGCCATGGAAAGTCCTCTATGCCTTCCTGCGCAAGAAAAGTTTGTGCATAGCTGTACAACACTTCAAAACGCAAATGTTCACATCGTTCAGACCATCCATTTGCAAAAGATCCAATAACATTCCGTTACTGGATGGCACAATTGTGGTTCCTTCATTATTCACGCGCTCGAGGCGGAGCCGATACCTCAGGCTTCGAGCATGTTTTTATTGGAGAGGTAAGTAATTTTTGCATTTTTCACGAATCCCAGTTTCTTCCAAGAATTACTTATTTAATCGCGTTTAGGTGAAAAACCATGAAATCACAGGGATGCATAACTGGATCAGCTTTTATCAGCTGGACAAGAATGAGACGAAAGAGTTTGACTACAAAGGATATGTCATAAAACGAGGAGTACGTTGCAATAGAGTCAGTTCTGCCAAAATCATGAAAGTCAAACTACTTTTTGAGGAATGTGATGGCTTCTCTCAAATTTACCTGGAAAGGGGATCTAAAGCGATCTGGATCGTTGCTGATAGGAATGTCTCCTGAATACGATATGGCCTTATACACGCTGTGCTTCTTATCCAGACGTGGACGTCAGCAGTGCGATATAAGCACATTTCTTGCGTTTAGGCCGATTCGCACTACTGTGGGCTACCGTGACACTTCCGTGCAGGACCGCCGCGCGCGAGACACACTGCGAGAGTGGTCGTGCGCGGTGTTTAGACAAGTCACGCACTGGATACCGCCTTGCGAAACGGCCTTTTCCCAAACTTTTTTTTTGCTTAAAAATTCTTTTTGCAAGATTACGATACTATAGGTTGAAATCGACGGCTACCCACTTGCTATCACCAGTTTTGACATTGTTCAAAATAACAAGGTACGATCTTTTAATGGCTTGATTTGACTCAAATATCTTCTTTTCAGGTTTCATCGGCTCAATCTTCCCGACAGCAGGTCCGATCACCAAGAAGTGCCAGGGAATTTGGAGGACGACTGACAATTTAACAGCTCAGAATTTTACAAGAAATTATGTACAATTGAAAGATAGTTCAAATTGCTCTTGAGCCCATCTGTAGCCGTAAAGAAATGAGCTTCAATTAGTGTGTTCTTTTCTCTTCTGTGTTGTTTTCGTTTGTGATTTTTCAATAAAAATTGCACTAATACTCTCATCAGCAAAGATCCAACTTTGGCCCATAGATTCCATTATGGGGCTCCTACTCTGTGACCTTGTTTTATCACGGGTCTCATTCTGCCAACCCACTGCCTTTAAAGGCAGTGTCCCGACAAAAACTCGATTTTGAGGTTTTGTGCTTACTTGGGCCTATTCGCTACGCTGAATCCGAAAATGCACATTGTAGAGCGCGAAAATGGTGAAAAACGGCTCCAACACAGGAGGGAAATGAGCAGGTGGGCGGGGCCCTCCCTACTGCGAATTCACGTTCCTGGCTTCCGGAGCGACCTTCTCGCTTCCGGTTTCAAGTCAGTCATTCGCACTTGGCCGGTAGCGATGTTAGAACGGCTAGCGCAATCGAGAAAATCGCTCCGAGAGCTGGGAGCGCGAAATCGCACTGGGGAAAGCCCCGGCCACCTGCTAATTTCCCTCCTATATTAGAGTCCTTTTTCGCCGTTTTTGCTCCTTACAATATGGATTTTTGGGTTCAGCATGGCGAATAGGCCCGTATAAGCACAAAATCTCAAAATCCAGTTTTTGCCCGGACACTGCCTTTAAGTTGCAGATTAGGTGAGGGAGAAAACGTGATTAGACCTGACCATCCTATGACAATCGATTGTCCAATCGTTGATTGTTTTCTCCATGAACGTACGCCTCATTATAAAAATGTAATGTTGCAATTCCAATGTTGGTCTATTCTGAGAGTAGTAGTTGCTCATTCGGTAAGTAGCAAGAACATCAGGTTGGATGGTGAGAAGTCGAGATGCTAAGTAATCGCTTTAGGGAAACGAGTTGCTGGATGCTCTTAGGATAAGGTTAGCGCGCATATCATAATGCTATAGAAATTTAAGCTCTCATAAAGCTGCCAACTGAACATTGTCAAGAAGATAAAGCGGCTTTGATCATGCGTAAACGTGGCGAAAGGATAGCAGATGGCTACAAGGAAGTCTGATTATCATTTCAAAATGGCAAGTGGCTTCAGCGTCCATCAAGTCAAGCGAATTATCCACCAGCCTTGAAAAAAAAACCGTTAACAAATGTCTAAAGAAAAGTGATACCTCAACACGAATCCTCTTCTCAATAAACAAACAAAAATTGTGAAGTTAATGTGAACTCGTTTTCAACTTCAAAAGACGATTTCAAAGAAAACGCATCCTGTGGAAATTCATAATGGCAGGGATCACAAATTACATAAAGTTGATATCTAAAGTAATGCTGGTTGGAACCACATCGAAATAGCTCACTTCTGCAGTGTCAATGCTTCTATGGTATAGTTATACCTTTGTGGATCGAAATCTCCGGCTATGAAGTTGTATGATACGTGTGCGTGTACGACGTGCGCGTATGAACAATTAGAATTCCAGTAGTTGGTTGAAGGCTGCAAGGGCGACCTAAGCGCGCAGTACTGACAGCGCCGCGGCCGCCCGCGCAGCCGATTAAGTAGAAATAAGTGGGGCCCTGCTATTGCCTGCTTCAGCTGTAGCTGTCCCGCGCAGAATTAACGTTTTGCGTGCGCCTTTTGCAGCTGAACGAAATATTCGCTTAATCTGTCACCTTCTTAACTACTCCGATATTAGTAGGATTAATCGCACGCGTGCTGCAGTATTCCAATTTGCTTGCTACCTGCTGCTCTTTAGCAGTTCAGGCGGGTTCGGACGTATACGGGCGGGTTTGGGCGGGTTCCAGCGGGGTCTGAACGATCCCTGAGATGCAGGGTATAGAGCGTGCCTTGGGGTTCCTTTCATAGGTATTACTGTAGCGCAGTCCATTTGTTGCATAGCTTTGGAAACATCACGGTTGAAAGCTTTGAAAATGACAGAACAGATTTCGCAGTCGCTGCGATTTTCGGCTACAGTGTCCCGCCGTCATTTACAGGGTGTGCGCGGCAGGACCCTCTGTGTTCCAGATTTCAGAAACCATGTCTTTCAAGGCACCTTTAGTTATTCCTACCGGACTTGCTGCGCAAGAGGCTCCGCGCAACAACTTACATGAGGTTCCGCCGCAGCCTTACTGAGTAGCGCAGAGAGACGCATGCCCTCCCATGAGCGACATCGGCTCAAATCACTTATAATGGCCCAGGCGTACTCACAAGGAGTGTTTCCAACCAAGTGGTGAAGTTACAGCGGCATATATAAATCGACCCGCCAATCAATCTAGAAGCTATGTATGCGTCCTGAGATACTATGTTTTATGTACTGGTAGGAAAAGCTCTGCATGTTCTTAGTGAGGTCATTGATTAAAGTCATTGGAGTTTTCCTTACAGCTAATCAGTCATTCATCAACTAAAAACACAGCATGTAAAGACTGATAAGATTTGATGATAACACAAAAGCAAGCCTTTAGTTGGCGTCATGATGTATGAGGTGAGCTGCAGACCATAAATAATAGGCATTTCTGATCTATGCACTTTTATGTTAGTAAAATCTCATATAGTGTGCGAGGATTTCGTCAAAACTTGTTTAAATGTTGTCACATGCAGAAGATGTAAACTCGTTCATCACCAAGCTAACTTTCCGTTAAAATCAGAATGGAGAAAATAAGAGTTTCAAGGATGGCTTGTTCATCAAGTTTTCATGTTGAAAGTACTGAAGAACACAAACTATGCGATGTGTACGAACCTTCACCAGGTCTAACGATAGCTACAACGTGTTATGAACAACATGCTACCCTTAGCACGAATTTATGTCCTGTGCTGATGGAGGACTTTTGCACCGGTGACAGTCACCTAGATTTACCAGCAAAATTATTACGATAATAGCTTTTGAGCATTTGATAATAGCGTGGAGCTTTCGGGCTAGCAAGCAATTATACAGCGATCTATATAATTTCAATCCTATTGCCATATTCTCATTATGGACTAAGGTCACTGCTTCCTTTAGTTAACAAGCTAATTGAACTGTGTTTGCTGACATTGGACGGCCGTCGTCGGGCTGTTACTTATGCTCACCATAGTTTGTTGACTTCTCATTCAGTTCTCTAGTCATCTCACTCACCACACCTACAAGTACCGTTACTTTTGCACCTTCTTGTATTCTTCCACCAAAAGGTTTAGGAAGTTGTGGTCAGCAACACAGAACCCCTTTCGGTCGCTACCCAGGCAAAAAGCAATGACTCAAAATCAATAAGCTTTTGAAAACTTGAAACTTGGTCCAACCACATAGTCATCGTGCTAAAAGTGTTTCGCCACAAAAACCAAACACAACTTTCACTACCATTGTAGTGAAAGTCATAGAGCAAAGTCCTCATAAGCAAGTTTGATCGAATGAAAGCCGTCGAAGGCAATGCCTCCAAACTGGCTAAAATTCAGGGGTCCTGCAACGAACACCCTGTAAATGGCGGCAGACTGTAGTTGAAAATTGCAACGACTGCCAAATCTGTTCTGTTGAAAATGTCTGGCAAAGGCGGCGCACAGGCGCGTAACGCCTAAGGCATACCTCGCGCGATTTGGCACAACAACGAGTCTTCGTAATTCGTCGTTAATGCGCTGTCTTTGGTCAGGACTTGCTCCATTTGCAACAACTTACACAAGCTACCCAAATATGCATCCGAGAAGCGCGTACGATGAATTTGTAGAAATCTGGCAAATCGCCAAGTCGCGTGAAAGTGGCGACTCGGCCGAATCACGTGAGGTATGCCTTAGACCTACGGCATCCGAAAAGGTTATTACTACGCGAAGAACCCTAAGGCACAGCTCGTAGAACCACAATGTGTGATCTTCAAGTTTCTCAAAAGGTACCATTGCAGGAGCTTGTTCGTTGCCTATGACGCGTCTGTGCAAGAATAAAAGCTTGGATGTTTCTGGTAAAAACAGCCCCAAAGGCATCGCAAAGAGAGTATGCGCAGCGGCGATTTTTACAGGAAGTACTGCTGACATAGACTACATTTGTTCAGTAGTGCGATGTGATGAAAAAATGACGACAAAAGAAAAGTCCAAGTAGTACCCAATAACGAGCAAGAAAGCAATCTAGAGAATGAGAGAGAGAGAAAGAGAAAAAGCGTAGTTGAGAGAAGAGGAGATGTTTATGAGGGAAAAAGAAGTTCTCAAGAGGTGTTTAGAATCGTGAAGATGAGGAAATCATGTCTGCTTTCTCTAAATTCACTTCGGCTAAATTCATTCCGAAATGTTGCCGAAAAAATGCCGAAAAACCATTTTCTGACTTCTGATAAAGAGAAGACCGCTTGTTGTGAAAAATCTATAGATAACGATTGGAGCCGAGGGTTAACAAAACACAGTTGGAGAGAGTAAGTAAATAAGAAGGAAATTAGATTATAAGATGATAGCGTAAAGAATAGAGATTATATGAAGTAGGAAGACATAAACTTTAGAAAAACAGTGTTTGAACCCACCCCTTTTCTTCAACACAAAAGAATCTGAGCTGAAAATCGGCAAATAGGCTCTGAAAAGGTTTCCCTCGGCAACACCCTCGACCAAGTGCAATGAATGCAGCCGCGTGTATCGATCGATAAACCAAAGAGACCCTAAATGACCAACGGTCAGAAGCAGTCATGAGTAAGACCTATTGCGGAACTGTAGAATTTCGAAATAACAACAAATAAGATGACTTCAACAAATTTTAGGAGAGATAAGAACGCTAGCAAAAGGTGAAAAACAAAGCAAACTCTACATAGATGAACCAGCAAAGAACTGTTCTCAATAGATGGAAGTGCGAAGACTACCGGAAGCATGAAACAAAACGCAATGTGACGACAAAGAAAACACATAAAAGAGCGAAATGCAGGGATGGACACATCTCCTCTCACTGCCGAAATGAGTCATAATTCAACACATTAAACACCAAACTACTGTAATTCAGCGTTTCCATCTTTTGTATATCCAGAAATCCCTAAAATCCCAAAATCCCAAAAATCGAATCTGGCGCTCCATTCAAGGGTACGGTAGGCTCCCGGAACGATCGCCCTTTAACATTAAACTACTGTAATTCAGCGTTTCCATCTTTTGTTATTAGAAAGAAGATAAATTTAAATAAATAATATATTGTGTAAATAAATTTACATAATATATTATTATATTATATTATTATATTTGCAGGGACCACGCTTCTTGACCTCTTTTCAGCTGTGAGATCGACGTCATAGCAGGAAGTTTATCACATACGAGGGACAACAGCCTATTGATTAGTGGATCATTATACCTCTCCCTGATATATACGACCAAGCTCTCAGCTGATCTCGTTTCCACTACGGCTGCTAGCATCAACTAAACTCCTTGGAGATGAGTGATCTGAGCCAGTAATCGTGGACATTGATACACGTCTAATTTTGGCCATACTGACTCAAGAGGAACTGAAACGGAAAGAAAAGGTAAGAGGAGCAACCAGACACCAATAAAGGCTAGAGATATGAAAGTAATCAGGGCGATATTGATAGTAGGCAGCTTGTAGTGAACGGCCACTTCAACCTTGTGACCCTCCCCTATGAATTCCCTGCAAATTTGGCATTGCTTGATTCTTTTGGGAATTCCACTGAATCCCTTGAGTATCCACATTACAGTCTCTATCATCGCTTTTAGAAAATTCGACTGCGATTTCTTTGATTGAAGTATACACCAAACTTGAGCTCCAAATTCAGAATAGAAAGTAGCTTTTTTCAAAAATGTTAATGTGCGCAATTGGAGAACCAGTTTCTTGAGTACTCATACAAGGGAGAAACGGAGCAGCAGTGAGGGTGCCTGCGACGAAGGCCGCTACAAGGTTGATGATTGAATCGATGGATTCGTGATTGGATCCAGAAATTACTGTACATTGATTTGTGTTCTAGTTTCCCAGTAAGCTATAAGGGCTGGAGCGTGGGAAAGGGGAAGCCTCTCGATTGGACAGACCAAAAAGCATGTTCGCGAAACAGGTGCAGAGTCCCGCGCGGGAGTGGAGATGCTGGTGCACCCCACTGCAATTGATAAGCCCTGTACGAAGTCCCCCTTGACTTCACTTCTAGGACATGCCTATGAGGTGCTCACAGAAAAAACACAAAAACAAATAGAACACTGAAAATCATTTCAAAACTCGAAAAAAAGCAGTGGTGTTCGCGACTTCCTTCGGCTGCATTATTCATAAGTATGAACAAGTTACTTGCATATTTTTATATTTTACTAGCTGGCTTACCCGGCTCCGCCCGACCCTATCAAAACACTGATGAAGCTCTCATCCCTATCCCTTATCTTACAACCTTTTCCTGTGCCGACGTCTATGCTAATTCATATTTCCGCTGTTTTAGTAATCAGCATGCTCGATTACCTCCTTTGCCAACTCCCGCTCTGTAGCTCAAACTTTGCAAAAAATCGATAAAATCTATAAAAGTGATGGTTAATTTCAAAACTCATATTGTGTAATCAGCATGCTTGATTACCCCCCCCCCTGTTCCAACTCCCAGCCCACGCCAAACTCTAGCCCGCCACCGTACTCATTCCGAGCGTACCGGCAGCGAATTCGAGTACGGTATTGGGCGAGAAGTCTGAGATGACTTCTTTGGAATTCACTAAACCCTGCAAAAAATTCCAAGTATAACTACCGTTTAGGTAATAGATAAGTGGCATTTCGCGCAGAGAAGAGTTCTACACCTTCTTTAAGCTTAACTCTGAGCAAGTTGGCACATAGTTCTGTTTGGCAACATGTTAAATCTTTTCTTGACAAGCGTACAATTCCGCCTCTCTTTCAGATAATTCCTCCGGAAAGCAAAAAAAAAACCATCGTTCCGTGGAATTGCTCTTTCACTCTGAACCTACACTTAATGCAGCCAAGGACAATTTTATGAAAAACATAGTAAACAATAAAACGGCTGCTGATCGAATCACCCAGTGCTGATCGAAAAAATAACTCAACAGCAAGAAGAGATGCTTGCTGAAAACTATTGGAAGTCCACTGCTAGTTTCAAAAGCGGCAGAGCCAGGTAAAATGAAAGGGCGAAGTTTTTAAAACAGGGCGGCTCAAAGCCAAGTGAAAAAGGTGATAACGATCAATCGTCTGTGAACTGCATATTGCGCAACATTACATCGTAAACCCGGACTATATAAGCTCCTACAAGACGAAGGCGGTCGGTTCGATGTGCAACGCGGCTGCGACACAGCTGCGTCACAGCCGCGTCACAGCCGCGTTTTACCACGTCACACATCGAACCGACCGCCTTCGTCTTGCAGGAGCTTATATAGTCCGGGTTTTTGAAATTAGAACTTGCTTTCTTGCATTGTCTTAGTTATTTGCTCCGTTGACAGTGGTGTTGTTTTTCATAATCACTCAATGCCACGGGCGTTTTTCGCAGTATTGAGTAGTTGCCAGTCGATATCTTGTCGATAGTCTGATGGGCATGTTTTGAAAATTTGATATTGGTTCAGTACGTCTGCCCACTTCTGGGAAGTTGTATTTATAGTCTCCCAGTCTATACAGTCTCAATTTGTTGAAAATTTCAGATCCCGGCCAGACTTCGCTCAAAAGCGCCCAAATTTCTCAATGTCTCTTCAGTTTTTCGTGTGTAAGAAATGGGAGAATAACTTGGGCGTTTTTGGGCACTTTTGAGCGCTATTGGGGGCTTTTGAGCGAAGTCTGGCCGAATCTTCAGGTTCTCTATCCTCGGTATTTCTTTTTGCCTTCGCAGGGTCACTTTATGTAATTTTTCGATCACAGCTCGAGAAGGATGCAGTCATACCTTCTCGAAATGCGAGTGAATCATCTAGAGGTGTCAATTTACATCCTTTTTGGCCTATTGATTATATTCTTCCAGACAATAAAATCTTGGAATTAAAACGACGCGGCTTCGTTGGAAACATTGCGCTCTCTTGGCTTCTTTTCTTTGCATTGAAAGAAAATAAAACGCGCAAAAGACGACGTATAATTTCTAATTGGTCGAAGTCTTTATATGAAGTCGCTATCGAATTGTGGTTAACGAATGCTAAGCTTCTATGGTTCATGCGTGATAGTTCTCGAGTTACGCACTCACAAAATCATGGTTCAGGTACTGTGAGAAATCTGAACATCATAATGACGAATTCGTCATGAGTGCTTTAAAATGCATATTCACGTTCATTTTACATGAACAACTCACTAAATAAAATGAACTTTTTTTGTAAGTGATCACGACGCTTTTTAAAGGTCACAAAGGTCACATACATAACAGGTGTTAATCGATTTGATCTTCATTTTTAGTGTACAAGAGGATATCAGTAAAGAAGAGTTAGAACGGATTAAGACTGCGCTGCAAAGTCCGACAGAAGCAATACGTGAGAGCGCAGTTCAAGGTAAACTTCAACGAAAAAAAACAATAACAATTCTTTGTGTAAAGGAAACTTACTCTTTGGGCTATTGAGCACCGGCTCTTGTCGTAAACTACTCAAAGCGGGCTTTACCTATACTGGTATTACAAAGACAACATGCCTTAGCGACCGTATTAGGGGATAATGTTAGATAGAAGATCTACGACAATCATTTGATGATATGAAAAATGATAATACGTTTAGCACATATATGCAAAGAGACGGATCGACAATGGCAAGAGATCAAGGACAAGTACGCAGAGGAAAAAATAAATAATTACAAAACAACGTCTAAAGAAATTACAAGGCAAAAAGATAAGTTCAACGTACATACATCGATGATACGATGGGATATAATGAAACGCGTCAATATTTGCAAAGATACAGCCCAGCTCTTTCCATAAATCCTCAGTACTTTATTCAGAGCTCGCAATTTGGCACCACTTCTTTGGAAAGCTGCTCACTGTGAGAGCTGATGGGCATAGAATGTGGGACGGATGGTAAGTTCGGCTATAAGTACTCTTCTTCGTCGTGCTCTTGAATCGTGCACATGTCGAACTGTTCCTGAAAAAAGTAGAATTTAAAAAGTAATCGCGACCTAACAGTTAGTAACTATGTTAACTAAAGCAGCAACACAGGACAGATACGCGTTATAAGAAGCCTTCCTGCACGAGTAGTTTGTACCACAGATATTAGCCCATAGCAGACTGCTTTACGTCTTCCAAAAAGCTTCATTGGGATTATGCATCAGGGTGCTACTTGAGTTCGCAGTTCCCAGGCAAATAGTGACTGGGCTTCTCATGTGGATAAAGGTAAATTTTCCCTAGACTGTTAGTGTGCGGGCGGCAGCTTATACCACACATTTGATAAATTCGACTCCAAACTGAAGCTCAGGCCGTGCTTTCTCTAGGCAGACCAATCAGCGTCCTCGAGTACGGTGCAGAGTATGATGATCGACAGTTTAGGCTTTTCAGGCCACAAATGAATAAAATGCGCTGAAGCCTAAAAGTAATTTACTTACGACCTTCCAATTAAGGAGTGTACAGTTGTGACAGTGGAATGTGGAAATTTTTGGCGAATTCGGCGATGTCGGCAATTCGCCAAAGTCGGCGAAAAACGCAAAGTCGCCGAGTTCGCCGGCATCGCCGAGAATTTTCACATTCCAAAGTCGTAAACGTATGTAAAGGTCACATCCCAAATGGATGAGTTTTACGGCACTTTTACTCTACGGCAAATGAACGCAATGATGCGCTTCATTCGAACAAAATACATTTGGAACTAGAAAATATACATAGGAATTTCATTGTAGAGGATATTCGGAGTAAGAACTCTTCAAACAAAGATATTGATTTTTCTCGCTTTTTAAAGGCACCGTCCACCCAAAATCTCGAATTCAATGTTTTTGTCGCCTTCAGGCCTTCTGAAAGCCCTGATTCCGAATATGAAGTCGAAAATCCGCGAAACTCCCAAAAATCCCTGTTTCGAGAACCTTCCGCAACAAGCGCAGGCGGGATAAAGCATGCAAGTAAGCGGGTACTTCCGGAGCGGATTTCTCGCTCCAGAAGCAGTCTTTTGCGGCGAAGCTTGGGGGTTTGCCTAGTGTGGGGGCCCACACTAGTATGCCGTCATAATCTCGCCAACCTTCATTTTGGGTGGACGGTGCCTTTACGCATTTAGATCTTTTTGATTTTGGCTTAAAGCCTTACGTAGAACAACGTTACGCAAATATTTAGGTTCTATCTTGTACAGCTTGCTTTGCTCTATCGAAACTTACCGCAAAACCTATTTAGGGAGCAAGGAAAATACGACTTGCTGCAGGAGAAAGTAACGGAAAGATTGACAAAACAACCTGATTAATCTTTTCTTAGTTTACGGCCTGTGCTCAGCAAAGAACTTAAACATTCTAGACGTCCCAGCTGCTTAGATATGGCAATCAGCTCCAGTACATTCTAGCCGTCAACAACAATCAGTGGAGTGATAGCTAGGTGTAGCTTTGATCACAATGATGCATATTGCGGACAAAATCAAAACTCCTTTTAGTGTCAGTAATCAATTCGACAATATCCGTGAACATGCCACTTCACTCGCCTGCCATGATTCTTCTCTCTTGCAACACCCACTTGAGCATTGTGCCATTGCTCTAGAGATCCCCGTCATTCCATTTGCTGAGCTACACGACGATTATCAGAACAAAATCATCCGAAGCGAGAAAAAATCTACACAAATCCAAAGAAGTTGTTAGAAGTGATTCCACTGGAAACGGATCAAGCACGAACAAATAAAAATAACGGAGCCAAGAACCGAAATACGAAGGAGGTTGAAGGCATGATGGAAACATGATGTTGACGTGAATGACGAAGCAGGTTTGGTTGCTGCAGTGAAAGGGAAAAGTGGAAAATCACTGCAGTCCAAATTAGCAGTTTTTGTAAGCAAATCTACACTAAGTTTAGCTGCTGTAGAGTCAGGAAATGGAAACATTTCAGAAGTACCCTGACGTAGAGAAAGAAGAAAATTGTAGTAAAAAAGAACCAAGGATTTGAGAAACAACTGAATCCGAAAACCAGAGGAAGTCCCGCTTGTCGATGTGAATTTTGCTATAATTAGACATGAAGTTGCATGTTTCTGCAGTCACACTAGCTTAATTAGCTCATTTTGGCTATGGCAACGGAAGGTGTTTGCTGCATTGTGTTGCACTCTATAATCCAGTGCTCATAGAACTCAGGTAGTAGATTACCACTGCATTTCACTAGTAAACCTTTAAATCCGAGCAAAGATACCCTCAAGCAGACCAAAAAGGGAAGTTCATTTAATAGAAGTGGCGATTAGGAGAGAGATCTATACTCGTTGATAGAGCTTAAAAAGCTGATTTCAAATATACCTTCTATATCTGCGATGAATTGTTCTAAAGAAAGTTACGAGCTTTTCTAAAGCCAAATTTTCGTGCATTTTGAGTCGCAAAATCAAGATAATCTCTACACAAAAGTGTGCAAGCTCAAGCAAACCACCTAGTAAGCATTGTAGATCCAATTCAAGTTCATCCGAACGCTTTCGAGTGTTTTTCGACCATTGTACCATTGTTGTTCATCTACAGATCGTCAATTCATTCCTAGGTCCCACTTTCATTATGTATACAAAAAAGCCCCATAACCTCCGTCTAGAAAAACGCGTCGCGTCGGAAACTTTTTGGAAATTACCAATGGATAAAACGTAAAACGATGTTTCTGATATATCTTCAATATCTGTAACACATTCTTCTAGATGGAGGTTATGGGCCTTTTTTTCATTTATAATGGAAGTGTGATTTAGGAAGAAATGGCGACCTGTGAATAAACAACATGGTCGGAAAACATTTGAAAACGTTCGAATGAACTTGAATTGGACCTATTAGGGTGATGGTAAAAAATGAGGCAGCTTGATTTTTATTATATTTTGAAATTTTTTGTTCTCACCAACAACAAGCAAACTGCAACTCAAACGTCGCTTACATAACCGACCTTCGCCTATTATTCTGGCAACGCGTTACCGCTCCTTTCTCATAACCGTACGCATGGCGCCTTGAAGACTCAGACAGGGTTTTTGGAACTTCGCTCATTCTTGCGCTGCCATACCGTAAAGTTATAGAGCAACTGATACACCATTCTAAAGAGCTCTTCATGTTCCTTCAAACAATATATTGAACATACAGGATTTCTTTCTATTTCTGGATAAAAACAGGAAAAAATCTGAAAAATAGCTAATGGCGCAATAAAAAAACCAAAAAATCATGTTTTGCCTTATATTTTCCGAAGATAGATAAAAACTGAGGTAAGCTGCATATGGATGGATAGAGCATAAAAAGCTCTATTAGATGGTACCTAGAAAACATGCGTTCACCTGCAAAGAATTGAATAACGCGTATCTTTGTTCTCGAAGCTGCTAATGGCCATATCTCTTGACTTTGAAACTTGAGGTCATCAAGCCGTCGTGGGTTTAGTGACTGTCCCACCAGCCATTCCAGCAGTGGTACTTTGGGTGGTCTCACATGTTTCAATGAGCAGATACTGGCCAAAGTTTATAATTTGTCAAAGTGACTAACTTTGCATTTCAGCCACTATAAAAATAATTACGTATGCAAATGACCTTATATAGGTATTTTCTGAAAGAGATAATTTATACTAACACCTATCAAAATTGGGAAGTTTACCCACTTTTCTTTTTTGAAATCTACAGTTATTCTCTAGGTGCCCCATTTTTGATCACCCTGATACAATGCTTACTATGTGGTTTGCTTAAGCTTGCACACTTTTGCGCAGAAATTATCATGATTTTGCGACTTAAAATGCACGAAAATTTGGCTTTAGAAAAGCTCATAACTTTTTTCAGAACAATGCATCGCAGATATGGAAAGTATATCTGAGATCAGCTTTTCAAGCACTATCAATTGGTATAGATCTCTTTCCGAATCTCCACTTCGACTAAGGAACTTCCCTTGTAAGCTACGGTGATTGCAATGCAGAAGTCCAAGAAAAGTAGAAATTCGCCATTAGGAAACTAACTTTGCCCATTCTCAATTCAACTTCAAGAACTAGCCACATGCTCCGCTTGTATGCGATCTGTTTGTCATGAATGATAAATCAGGTGGCTTTGAAGCGAATTTGATACCAAATAGTGACGGAAATGCTTCGTATCAGCAGCTTTTCTAGAGATTTCGCAGCGTTTTTTCATGTGTTCGGCTGATTAGTTAGACTTATAGTTCTCACAAAGGCTATTTCTCATGAATGTTTGGTCCTTGCTAGCTTTTGTTTCCAAAACTTGGAACACAACCTACAAATTAAAGCTATTCAACAATCTTCTGTCGCTTAGCAAATGCTTGCCATTACGAAATCGTAGAGCCGATCACTGTTTTGAAATTGTCTTGCCACGCTGTCACCTTCAATTATTTTTACATTAGATATCACTCAATGTTTTGCAAAGTAGCTACCAGTAGCATTAAGTGCATTAAGCACATTACAGAGGTTTGAGAATTGTAGAGAGTACTAAATCAATGAATTGAGATTGTTAATCACGATTCCTCGCTGTGCAACTATGTGTAAAAACGTCGTTCTCTTCGTCGGGTATCAAACAGACGACTTTCAACCACAAGTCTTTGTCTTGCAACTGAGATCTGACGATTCCCCCTTTCAGTCTCTCTATATGGTGTACGTATTTTCCAAATAAAAAATTCCGCTCTTGAGCCGATTCGGACCAAACCTTGACACATACACTTCGGGGCTAGACGGGGTGTACCTACTCTTCGTTATCGATCGAATCGATTTTATCATTTTTTTCGCAAACTTCGAGCTACAGGTCTGAAAGTTGGTACAAAGAGGGTAAGTCATCTTCAAGCCGTGATAAATAAACACGTTCTCCTCTGGCCTGTAAAGAAAACACAATTCTAATCTTTTTTCAGCTTTAGCGCATCCTAGATTTTCTAACATATGCATATTGCAAGAGTTTGCTCTTTTTGGTGATTCTGCCCCAAGCTAGCTCCAGTTAACAATGACTCTATCGCTTCGTGTCCTCCTCATACCAAGTTAGAGTCATTGGTATTTTTTCCAGGTAAAAAGATGTACATCATAATTGTCGCCATGGTACTCTTCTACGTGGTTGGCATTAACGGCGGCGATTTTGATTACAACCCACATGTAATCTGCCAAAAACACATGTGGACAAACGCGAACTACGCTACCGACATGTGCGTTAAGTTCTGCCAGCATTGGTATAAAGTGAGTCTTTTTCACTAATGCAAAAAAGATTTTTGGATTAATTTTTGGACATAAATATACGGGTCGTTTCAGTAACGTCGCACTAATTTGTTATTCCAACTGGCTTGCCTTGCCGATTTTTGCAAGAAAAAGTCATGCCTTGCAGTCTTAGCGGTATTTGACAGGGAAAGATCTTATGATGAATGCGGAAGAAAAAATTAGCAGGCTTTGCTTACAGACTGCAAAGGCTGGAAACTTATAAAAAAAATTCTGCATCTCCTGCAATACAAGTTTTGTGACCTAATTTTTCTAGGTAAGTCAAGCTAATCGGACTAACATTGTCATCTTGAAGATACATGCTAACATTTATTTTGCTGATTCTTTTTGCAAACACTACTCATAGCTCAAAGTCTTTGCAGATATTAATCATAGCTCACAAACTTGATCACCACAAACTTTCTCACATAAAAGATATAGATAATGCGACATCATATTGCTGGCAGATTATGAACACATCATCTTTGATCGAAACTCAAGTAGTCTTCTTCTTCCACTTCTATCCCGCGAATCTGTCTGTTTTATAGAGTTGATAAGGTGTCTTTGCAAAAAGTTTTCTCTTTCCGGCAAAATTAATAACCGGCTTCTATTTGCAGAAAGTTGCAGTTCAAAAATTAAAAGGAACAACAACCTTGAGGAAATCTAGAACATTATTCAAAAAGGGTATTTAGGTGACATAGAACCCCCACGTGCATCTGAATTGAAGATAAATTCAAGTCATTTAAAATTGATTAAATTAGTTGACTTGCGAAGATTCTAAAGATATCAATAAAAATCAAACATTTCAGGTGAGCGGTTTTTGTTGGAAGGACGGTGGTTACTACCTGTGTAAGTGCTTGAAGTAGTCTGAAGTAAGTGCGAATTTACAGACGTGAAGAAGCTGGGTCCAAGTTTTTAGGTGCCGCGATCCAGCACCATGTTCAAGAAGTGATTGATAAATTGAAGCAATGTATTTAACAAACAAAATATGTGTCTTTAATTAAAGTGCTTTTCGCGATGAGTTTAAATACGGTTTTGAGAAAGCACTGAGACGTTTCCAAGTCTATTTTATTTGCCATGTGCATGAGAGCGTCAAACCATGTTTGGGTTCCTTCATACTACGCCGCAGAACGCGGCGTGCTGCGGCGCACTCCTCAAAACGCAACAGCCTGTGCAGCACGCGGCAGCACGCAGAAGCACGCCGCATCCTGCGGCGTGCGCCGCTGCAGTCGCAATGAAAATATAAGCTCGCTCGCTGTGAAGGAACCTTTTGGAGAACACGAACGTGCAGCAAATAAAGATGTACGCTGTGTGTCCCAGAAAAGTTCTCATGTGAACCAGCGTGCGTATGTGGTGCGACGCTGCCTTTCGCTCTTTTTGACACGTTTCTTTTATCCAACTGAACTGCCCGAGGGAACTGCCCGAGGTTAACACGTTCAAAAGAGCGAAAGGCAGCGAGATGACGTGGTACCTATGGGAATCTTGCTGGGGAACAAACAATACATCCACAACCGGAAAACTGTGCTGCCGTGAGCGTATACTTTCACTGCGACTTTAGCGGCGCACCCCGCAGGACGCAGGATTCCTTCATAGCTGCGTCCCGCGGCGTATGAAGGAACCATTTGAAGCACAAGGACCGCATGGTTCAGATAAAATCAATTGTTGCAGCTACTTCAGCGCTCAATTACAGGAGTGTTGATTGCGTGAGTATTACAAAACAGAAGCATCCATGGCAAGAAGATACCCAACATTGGTCTATCTGGGCGGTTTTGATGGTCTATCTGGGCGGTTTTAAACGATAAATCTGTTTACTTGCCCTGTTGATTTTTTAACTCACAAGGGAAGTGTCACAAATCGCAGTGGCCGTTTGAGATGGGATGGGTGGTGTGACACGTCACTCGGAAGGGCATTTTCAAAACCACCCTCGCTAGCTGCAGAACAACTCTGGGAAGGCTACAGTCTGCCCCAATCCCAATCAGGCCGAACTTGGCATGGCGGGTGTCCGCGTCGCTAGGTTTTCGCGGTCACGAGCACGGCCTGCTTGTCCGCTCCCTCTTCGATTCCTTGCTCTCTCTGCCAGCGCGCATATGCAGCGCAATCGCCTAGCCCTGCGAGTGCGCAAATCCACGCCGACGTTCGGCCTGATCCCGATTGGAGCAAACTGTGGGAACGTTTTTCCGCACGAGACCCAGCTCGCCCTGCTCAGATACGACTGTCACCGTCAGCCAGCCGCATCGTTATGGCGCAGTGGCAAGTGTGTTGACTACTGTGCGCATGTTTGGAGGTCCGAATCCTCTGTTAGACAATTTCTTTGCGATTTATATACGAACTCCCAAAATGTGTACATTAGTGACAAAACGTGTTTTATCCTTTTACTGGTGCTTAAAAGCAAAAGCAAATTGCACTGAGGCTCTGCCTTCATAAGTGCTCTTATTTCGAAAAAGTTTTCTGCTTCAAGCATTTTGTTCTAGAATACCATATGTGTGACAGGAATCTTACTACAGGTTAAGAACGCATTTTCTCGCTTTTTCCGCTATATTGTGTCGCACGCTAGATCTGGCAATAAAGTTTTATCTAACTGAATGCTTCACCTCGCGTACATGAGGTCTTCGCAATAAAAACAATTTCCTACTTTTAAGCACCGATAAAGGTGTAAAACACGTTTTGGCCACTAATGTACACATTTCAGGAGTTTGTATATGAATTGCAAAAAAGTTGTCCAACAGAGGAACCTCCAAACATGCGCACAGTAGTCAGTACACTTGCCACTGCGCCACACCGATACGGCTGACTGACGGTGACAGTCGTATTCGAGCAAGGCGCGCTGGGTCTCGTGCGGAAGAACGCCCGTAGCTCCCCTCCCAGAGTTGTTCTGCAGCTAGCGAGGATGGATTTGAAAAAGGCCTTTCGAGTGACGTGTCACACCGCCCATCCCATCTCAAACGGCCACTGGGATTTGTGACACTTACCTTGTCAGAATGCGAGTATTTCGCTTTAGAGGCGAAGCAGGCATGAAAACAGATTTCAGAGGAAATGTTTTTTGAAATGGTATAAACTTCTTCCAGTTAATCATTCATTTCAATAGACATTAGAAAGCATAGTTAATACATGTTTTTAAAGAAGCATTTTCAAAGCGACAGTCTCAAAAACATCTATACAAGGTTGCCTGCCCTTACTTCATAAGCTTTATTTACGCACCCATGCAAGCCGGTAGCTGCAGCCCTTCAAAGGGGCTTCTTTGAAGGGCTCTCAGACATTAAGACTGCAAGAGAGTATTAAAGCAGCAGCGTTTTGTTGAAAAAACGCATGCTTGAAAAATTGCGCACTTAAAGTCCCTTTGATTTTTGATTATGTTTCGTTAATAACGAAACATAAATAAAAATCAAAACGATTCCTAATTCTTCGAATGATTAACATTGTATCAACGAATACACACTGTCGCAAGAAAGAGTTGAGCAAGAGTAGAAAATCTGGACTAGCTAGTGATGGATGCATGTTTACTGACAAGAATCGTACCATATACCTTTTCACTAGAGAGAATAACAACAAATAGAAGACCGATTAGATTACATGTTTCTCAAGCTTTCGAATCATACATAAAAGTTCGAAAAGACCTTCCTGGTTTGATAAGATAATTACCGAGAATTGGCTGATGTTGTAGCTAGATAAAACTGCCCGTAACTCGCTTCACAGAAGAGCTAGGAAAAAAGAGACGGTCTATGTCGATTGCTCGTGCTAGCTATCGAATGGTTTACAAAGTTGGTGCTCAAAGCTTTCCCAGTCCAAAAAAGTTTTGCTCGGGCGACCCATAGAAAGCAGGAGCGGGGTGGAGCAAGTCAATACTAAATATCTCCACCTCACGTTTGAAAAGCCATGAGTTTTTTCACCCAACAACTTATCTATCTTTAGAAAGCCAAGGGAGTCGACGTAGACCGTCTCTTTTTCTCTAGCTCCCCTCTGCTCAGAGATACATGGCATTTTAGCTAAAAACATGTGTGTTTTTGTGAAGAATTCAACCCTGTTACAGAGCAAGACTTCGCCATTAGACGTAGACCGTCCCTTTTGTCTAGCTTTCCTCATTTTTTCAGAAATGGAGCTCAAAGTGATTGCATAAAATCAGCTTATGGTAGAGCTAGATATGATTTTTTTATATCTGAGTTCACAGGGGAAAATAGACAGTCTACGTCGATTCTGTACGTTCCAAGCTTGTGAATCGCATGTCGACTGATGAAAAATAAAGCTTTTTTGAGTCAAAAAAGTCTCTGTTGGATGATCTTCCAAACCCTAAGCATTTAGGAAATATTGTATTACACCTCTGTATCACTTTTGCTTTTTTTCACTCCCACTCTTGTTAAAATTTGAACTTGCGTCAGCATTCATCTCAGTCCCAGTTATCCCTTCACTTTTCTACGTCAGGAATAGCTAAAACCTCCTTCACCTGGCGGGGACCCCGCTCTCCCTATCGCACCTATGCTTCCGTGTGTGATTTCCATGAACGATTCTCCTACAAGATGGTACTCCACCTATTTCCTGCTGTGCGATTTTTTGAATGCGGTGAGAGCGCTACGTTGATAAATAGCCTTCCCAATTTCTCAGCGCAGATGAACGCTATCGAAAAGCTGATACCTTCGGCTGGCTTATCTCCGATTGAAGACGGAAAACTGCGCGTCTTGAAGGCATTTGCGAATTTCTTTTAAAAGCATACCAGGCTATGATCAGCCAGGTAACGTGATAAGTAAATGCTATTGTGCATCAGTACGCCTGACCATAGGTATGCTTTCAATCCTCAACTTGCTCCATGTACATTTCCGTTGGCAAGCTACTGATTGCAAAAACCGAAGGGTGAGTTTAAATTTTGTAGGACAATCAGGAAAAGAGCAACTTTAAAGAATTTGGCGAGGGCTCGAAGAGAGGCATCACAATTCGGAGAGAAATTATTAGAGAAGCCAAAGGAGTATTTCGCGATCTTTTATAAGCCAGCCATTACGATTCGCTGCTTGATTTGATCCAAGATTCGCGTTCCTCGGAACAGTTTTGGACAAGGGACGAATGGAAGGAAACCATCGACCGATTTTTAGCAACCAAGAGTGATTTGATTCTGAATTAGTTGCGAAATATTGATCTTGATATCATCAAAATTTCAGTGTGTTCATTTACCCCGATAGAGTCTGACGACAACACTACTACTGAACGATCCAGCACCCCGAAAGACACATATGTATGGTCACTGCTTATCACACAAAGTCCTACTAACCCGCCCAGTCGAAGCTCCCAGATGCAAGAGAAGGATTTACAGGTAGGAGGAAGTTTTCAGATGGTATACACGTATACAGTCTGATTCAAATAAAAATCTTGGTAGCCCCTTGCACCTTCGTTGATAGTGAACGCCTTTTTAGGTATAGTCGTCCTCACCCCACTAGTCGGTCGGTGATCGAATTTGAATTCGAACTGGAGCAGGCCGACCGCGGCAGAGCGCGGCAGACGCCGCTCCTCAGTCAACCGCTTGCACGAGATTTTCTCTTATTTTCTTCGTGTTTCTTTGCTGTCTCTCGTATTGTGGCAATGTTCTTGATCAGATTTTCAGGTTTCATATGGCTAGCTCTTTGAAACCAACATTTTTTAAAAGAAAAATTCACCCCTATCATAAAAAAATAGTTCAGAGTACACATTCTAACGAAAAATTTGAGACAGTTCATTAAATCGCATCTGTGTATATGTCACTTACCGAAAAGAGATTTCTCATTCAAAAATCTAAAGCAGCATCCTTCTCCCCGGTTTACCTGGAAAAAATGTAAAACAAACGAGCACAACTGCACAAAACAATAGTTAGCGGTAGAAATCTAAAAGTCTGATTAAGAACATTGCAGCAATACGAGCGATACCAAAGAAACACGAAGAAAATAAGAGAAAACTCATGTGCAAACGGTCGGTTCAGGGGCGGTCTGCCGCGCTCTGTCGCGGCCGACCTGCTCCAGTTCGA